CGTTTGTAAGTCTGAGCTCTTGGGGAGAGGTAACACTCAGTGTGATGTGGTTTCCCCCTTCTCCTCCCCTTTCTCCCTTCTTCCTTCTTCTCTCTATTCTTCTTTCTTAAAAATGCAAAGCTAAGTACTAACCCAGAACTTTGTATAATACAACTGTGAGTCACACAATACTTACTTCCGGTCCATGTGTCCATGAGCTGGGTTTGGGAAATACACACGCAGTGCCTATGACGTGGCGGTGATTGCCCAGGGTTTGCAGGCATCAGCGTGCCACAGATGCCACGAAGGTTATCTGGAGCTCTCCAGACCAGAGCGAGAGGTGACCGTGCCTTTCCGGTAGTTGAGGGCTTAGTTCTTTACACGATTTAAGAGAGCCTTTATAACAATTTAAAAATGTTTTACAAATAGAAATAAAAATAATTTATGCTTTTTTGACTGCTGTCATAAATGATATTGTACTTTTAATTTTATTTTCCTATTTACTCATTGGTCCTGTGTAGAAAAAAAATAGCATATGCTGATTCAAAAACCTACACAAAAATGTTCATAGTAGCTTTGTTCATAATAGCCTCAAACTGGAAACAACTCACATGTCCACCACACGTGAATGGATAATCCCTACAGTAGAATACTACTTAGCAATAAAAAGGAACAAACTATTGATTAATGTTGCAACATGGGTGAATTTAAAAATAATTATGCTGTGTGAAAGAGGTCCAACAAAAAGTACATACTTCGTGATTCCATTTATGTACATTTTTAGAATATGAAACCTGTATAGTGACAGAATGCAGACAGTGGTTGCTGGAAGATGGGAGAGGGATGGGAGGGAGGGTTGCCAAGGGGCAGCAGGAAACTTCCAGTGATGACAGATATATGTTCATTATCTTGACGGTGGTTTGGGTTTTATGGCAAAACTTACCCAGTCATATAATTTAAATGCGTGCAGTTTATTATATGTCAATTATACCCCACTACAGCTGCTAAAAAATGAATCTTCCAGGACAAGGAAAAAAAGAATTGTTTTTATTGATCTTGTACCCTGCAACTTTGCTAGATCAGTTATTACTTCTTACAGTTTTTTGTAGATTCTTTAAGATTTTCTATGTACACAGTTATGTCTTCTGTGAAAAAGGCAGTTTTATTTATTTCTGATCTGTATGACTTTTAGTTATTTTTTCCTGCCCATGTGCTGGGTAAGATCTCGTGACTATGCTGAAGTGGAGTGGTAAGTGCCTTGCTGTTGATGTCGGGGGAAAGTATTGCCTTTTGTTATGAAGTAGGTCATTAACTGTAAGTTTTTGCAGATACCCTTTATCTGGTTGAGGAAGTTCATTTCTACTCCTTTTTTTCTTTTTTAATCATGAGTGTTGTGTTTTGTCCAATGCATCAAATTGGACATCATTGATGCAATCATGTGGCTTTCTCCTTTATTGTGTTAATTCAGTGATTGATTTTTGAATGTTAAGTCAAATTTGTATTCCTGGGATAAACTCCACTTGGTCATGATCCTCACAGTATGTTGGTGGGTTATGCTGGCTTTATGGAGTTGGGAAGTGTTTCTTTCTCCTCTCTTTTCTGAACTAGCTTGTGTAAGATTTGATAGAATTCACCAGGGAAGTCATGTGGGCCTGAAGTTTTCTTTTTGGGAAGGTTTTAAATTATGAGTCATTTAAAAAAACAGCTATAAAGCTATTTGGACCTTCCTTCCTTCCTTCCTTCCTTCCTTCCTTCCTTCCTTCCTTCCTTCCTTCCTTCCTTCCTTCCTTCCTTCTTCCTCAGTTTACAGCTCCTCAAATTTCTTTTTACCACAGATTTTTCTTTTTATTCTAGTTAAATTATATGGTGATTTTTGTCTTTCAAATGCTGCTATTTAAGTGGTCCAGTTTACTGGCATGGAGTTTGACACAGAATTTCTTTATTATCCTTTCTATGTCTGTAGCATCTGTAGTGATGTCTCCCTTTCCACCCCTGGTATTGGTAATTTGTGATTTTTCTCCTCCTTTCTTTGTTTTGATCAGTCTAGCTAGAGGGTTACTGATTTTCTTAATGTTTTCAAAGAACCAACTTTTAGTTTTATTTATTTTCTCTGTTGATTATTTCCTGTTTCTATTGATTTCATTTTTATATTTATCATTTTCTTTTGTCTACTTATTTTGGGTTTAAATTGCACTTCTTTTTTTAGCTTTCTGAGGTAGAATCTTAGGTGATTTATTTTTAACCTGTTTTTTCTACTCTAGGATAAGTACAGCTTTAGCTGCATTCCATAAATATTGATATTTTATATTTTTATTATCATTTCAATTTATTTAGAGATTTTCAGATCTATATTTTATTGACTTTTAATTTCATTTTGGTCAGAGAAAATATTTTGTATGATTTCAATTTTCTGAAACTTCTTGAGACGTATGTCTGTTCTGGTGAAAGTTCCAGGAACACTTGAAAATGCAGTGCATTGGTTGTAGCGTCCTACAAATGTCAACTGGACAAGCCATTGATTCTCAACCAGGGGTGATTTTTGTCCCCTAAGAAAGATTTGGTAATGTCTGGTGACATTTTTGGTGTCACACCTGGGGGAAGGATGTTGCTGGTACATAGTGAGTAGGGGCCAGGAATGCTGCCAACATCCTGCCATGCACAAGGCAGTCTCCCACAGCAAAAAGTTTGCCCCAATTGTTAACAGTGCTGAGGTTGAGAACCTCTGGGTTAGGTTGGTTAAGGTGTTGCTTAAATCTTCTACATGTTTATTGATATTTTGTCTAATAGTTCAATCAATTAAGGAGAGAAGTGTGTTAAAATCCACAACTATGATTATAGATTATTTCTCTATTTAATTCTGTCAGTTTTTGTGTCATGTATTTTGATGCTCTTTTATTAGGTACAGACATTTTTAAGATTGTTGTATTGTATTTTCTTGATGAATTGGCTCATTTATTGTTATAAGATATTCTACATTAGTCTGCTGGGCTGCTGTAACAAAATACCACAGGCTGGGTGGCCTAAAGAAGAGAAATTTATTTCCTCGCAGTTCTGGAGGCTGAAGTCTAAGATCAAGGTGTTGGCAGGGTTGGCTTATTCTGAAGCCTCTCTCCTTGGCTTGTAGATGGCTGCCTGCCTGTGTCCTCACATGGTCTTCCTTCTGTATGTGTCTGTGTCCTAGCCTCCTCTTCTTAAAAGGACACCGGTCATACTGGGGTAGAGCCCACCCACACGACCTCATTTGAATGTAGGTCCCTTGGTAAGGACTCTATGTCTGAGTGTAGTCATGTTCTGAGGTGATTAGGGTTAGAACTTCAGCACGTGAATTTTGCGGGGACACATTCAGCCCATAATATACTCTCTTTTTTTTCCCTCAAATCTCTGGTACTACTCCTATATTCAATGGGAAAGTTACTGTATGAACTGTATGAACACGGAGCTGGCTGAGGAGAGAAGCAGGTGTGAGAGGAAGGCTTTGTGTGGAAGGGAGCCTCTGAGCAGACACAGCCAGGTCCATTTAGCCTGTCACACTGGGCAAATGTCGCGTTGTCATAATTTGTGTGGTTGTGACGTCTTCATGTATATATTAGGCAGAGACCACTCACTGCCTGATCTTTCCTATTTAAATTTGGTTTGGCTGTGTTGCTCTTTTGCTTTTCCATATAAATTTTAAGTTTAGTTTGTCAAATTATATGACTAACACTATTAATTTAACTGAGGCAAGACTTCCACATTTTATGTATAGATGAGAAACTCCATGGAGTTATAGATTTTATTTTTTAAAAAACTTCATGCAGAGAAGAGGAAAATAGAACTGATCATCTGCTTTAATAAAAAGTGACAAATATTTATATCTTTTAGAAAATAAGGGCATCACTTAAATATTATTATTATTATTTTTGAGACAGAGTCTCACTTTGTTGCCCAGGCTAGAGTGAGTGCCGTGGTGTCAGCCTAGCTCACAGCAACCTCAAACTCCTGGACTCAAGCAATCCTTCTGCCTCAGCCTCCCGAGTAGCTGGGACTATAGGCATGCGCCACCATGCCCGGCTAATTTTTTCTATATATATTAGTTGGCCAATTAATTTCTTTCTATTTATAGGAGAGACGGGGTCTTGCTCTTGCTCAGGCTGGTTTTGAACTCCTGACCTCGAGCAATCCGCCCGCCTCGGCCTCCCAGAGAGCTAGGATTACAGGCATGAGCCACCACGCCCGGCCTTCAATACTTTTTTGTTAAAAAAAGAAAAAGTAAGCATATTTGATACTTTCTGCACCTGTAGGGAAAGAGGCAAAACTTACTTCTCCCAGCGTTTTATAAGGGCCTATAGATCTAAGACTAAGTACTAGGACTCCTTTAGTCAGCACGAGTGGAAGGAAAGGAAGGCCAGAAGCTTACAACTTGCAAAATGGAAAAGAAATAGGGAGAATAGGATAATTAAGTAAATGGCATAATATTTTTCATCTATAATCATTTGGAATTTGGGTTGAAACTTCAGTGAACGGATAGACTAATTTGGAGGAGAATTGCCATCTTTATAATACTCAGCCTTCCCACACATGAATGTGTTTTAGCTCTCCATTTACTTGAGTTTTTCTTTTCAAAAAGTTAAATTACTCTTTTTTTTTTTTTTTTATCTGAAAAGGCCTTGCACATATTTTTGCTACATTTATTCCCAGGTACCTGATTGTTGCTTGTGATTGTGAGATCTGCCTTTTGCAGAATTTAATTTCCCAATTGGCTGTCGTTGTTCGGTGGGCGTGTCGCTGTTTGGTGGGCGTGTTTTTGCTCAGTGGGCGTGTTGTTGCCCGGTGGGCGTGTCATTGCTCAGTGGGCGTGTCGTTGCCCGGTGGGCGTGTCATTGCTCGGGGCGTGCTCCAGCAAGCTGGTGAGCCTGCACATGAGTTTCCACATTGTTCTAGTAGATCTCTTTGAGACATCTGCAAACATCATTTGCAAATAGTGATCTTTTAACACTTCCTTCTTAATCCTTGTCCTTATTTTTCTTATCCTGTTTTGGTAGCTAGGAGCTCCAGGACCAGCTTAACTAGAAGTGATGATGGTGTTGAGAGCACGGATACGATGGCAACATCTGTCTTGTTCACGCTCTTCAAGGGAACGCATCTGATGCTGCACTGCTAAGGGCACTTGCTGCTGTAGGTTTGTGACGTGCACTTTACCACGTTAAGGAAGGCTGTTTTTATTTCTGCTTTCTCAGTATTTTTTTCTTAAATCATAAATAAGTGTTGAATTTTATCAAAGGATTTTTATACATTTACTGAGATTATTTTGCTATTTTTCTCCTTTGTCATCTATGTGCACTTACATATGTATGTATCCATATTGGAATGTTTATTATATTTATTCCTGAATGTATCTGCTTGTTTATGTTTTGCATTATTGTATTCATGTATAGTATAGTAAATACATAAACCAGTAACATAGTCGTTTTTTATCAAGTATTGTGTAATGTACATAACTCTATGTGCTATTTTTTCATATAGCTGGCAGCATAGTAGGTTTGTTTACACCAGAACACATGAGTAAGTATTTTTTTTTTCTTTTGAAGTCATTTGGAGTGGAACATGAGTAAGTATTGTGTTACGACTTTATGACAACTGGGATGGCACTAGGCAACCCACGGATTTCCAGCCATTGTAATGTCGAGGGACCACCGAGGTATATGCAGTCTGTAGCTGACCAAGGCGTCGTCATGCTGGCATGACTGCAGAGTCCTGCAGAGGGACTCAGGTTGAGACAAGTTCATGCCAGATTAGCGTGGCCCTAATCTAGTGACCGGTGTCCTCAGAAGAAGAGGAGAATTGGGATACAGAGAAACAGACAAGAAGGACATTTAACGTCCGAGGCAGGATTGAAGCGATGCGGCTGGCGGCCAAGGAGTGCCCAGGGCGCTGGCGCGGGAGCAGGAGCCTCAGGGCAGGGGTTGCCCGAGCCTGCAGAGGGAGCCGGCCCCCAGCACCGCTGCGGGAGCGTCAGGGCGGGGGTTGCCCGAGCCTGCAGAGGGAGCCGGCCCCCAGCACCGCTGCGGGAGGGTCAGGGCGGGGGTTGCCCGAGCCTGCAGAGGGAGCCGGCCCCCAGCACCGCTGCGGGAGCTACTGACACCCCAGGAGGTTTCACCCTAGGTATAGTTACTCGGACACCGAGATCCAATTATTGAGCCAGCGAGCATTGCCAAGCAAGAAAGGAATATTGTAACACGAAAGACATGTTGCCAGGAGAAGGGTGGACGCGCCTCAAGTCCGCCTTGGCGTGCAGTGACCTGTTACCGCAGCCGGACCCGCCGCTGTGGGGCTCTGCTGACAGTCCCGCTGTTCTCAGCGCGGAGGACCTGTCTGTGGTCTTTCTCATTTCTTTTGTTTTCCTCCAGACGTTAACTATTAACATAACTATTGTTCCTTTCTAATCAATCTTTCTTTTCTTTTCTGGTTGGTTTTAAGATCTTTGTCTTTAATGTCCTGCATTTCACTATGCAATCTTTAGTTTTGGATCTTCTTTTAATTATTGTGTTTGGTATTTACTGAACTTCTGAATTTGAGGATTTGTGGCTTTTATCCATTCTGGAAAGTTCTAAGCCATTATTCCTTTCTTTAACTTTATCTTCAACACCTCATTCTGGAAACTAGATTAGATGTATATTAGTCCTTTTTGCTTTAATCCTTACCTTAATCTTGTTTTTATATTTTGATATCCCTTTGTCTCCTAGTGCTGTGTTCTGAGTTATTTTTCAGATTTCTCTTCCAGTTTGCCAATTCTCTCTTTAGTTGTGTATAATATGCTGTTTAACCCACCCATTTGTGGTTTTTTAATGGCACAATATAACATTTAATTGTGTTTACATTTCTATTGTTGATTATAGCAAACACAGAAAAATATGTAAAATAAACAGAGCTTCACAAACTTTGGTGAAGCCAGCCCTGTGTAATTGCACCAAGTGAGCAAGGAGAGTGTTGCCCGTGCCGCGGCTTGCCCGTGACCCTGCCCCGCCACGCCCTGCCCTCCCTCAACAGGAACCACCGTCTCAGCTTCCACAGCATTCATTTTGTTGCTTTTTGTTTGTTTTATGCATTATGCATCATTTAACAATATAACTTAATTTTACTGTTTTTGACTTTTATATAACAGAATTACACAGTGGAGTTCTGTTGTGTCTGAGTTCTTTTTTGCTTAATATTATGTTTTTAAGATTCATCTATGTTGTACATCTGTGTAACTGTAATTTATTCATTTTCATTGCTGTATACTATCCCATACATAAGTATACCTTAGTTACTGTTGACGTACATTAGAATTGTTACCAGTTTGGGGCTATTTTCAGACCTATCAACATGTATTCTAGTGTACATAAGCAAATATTTCTGTAGAGTATATATCCAGGAGTTAAATCACTGGGTCTTGTGGTAGGAATAGCTTTACTGTAACAGAGGGAATAGCTTGGAAAAATATTTTCTGTCTCTTTGTAGCATCCTCCACTCTCTTTTGAGAACTACAGCCTGCAGCCTGAGTTTGAGAACTCAGGCCAGTGGCTGGAAGGGGCAGGGCTAGTCTTTTGTTATTTGTGCAACAGGAGTTGGCCCAGCCCGGCCTGGTAAAAGGAGGTCCTGGGTGGAGGTCTGGAGGTTGTCTTCAGCGAGACGGGACGATCAGAATCATCAACTGAAGTTGAACAGTAATTGCCTGAAGCTGAGAACTCATCTTTTAAAAGCTCTGTATTTTTGCTAATGTTCAGGAAAAATTTGGATTTAGAGACGAAAAGGTCTGCCATTTTTCCTACTTTGCCAGCAAAATAAACTCTCTTTCCTTCCTTCTCAAACCACTTGTCCTTGTTCCTCTTCGGCCTTGTGGACAAGTACCGAGCTTTTGGTAATATTACTAGATATTGCCAAAATTTTTCCTACCATGGTTGTTCCATTTTACAGCCCACCAATAATGTAGGAGCCAGACTTTTACACTTTTGCCCTTCAGGTAGGTGTATAATATTATGTCATTGTGGCCCTAATTTGCATTTCCCTAATTACTGGCGAAGCTAAGCCTATATTCATATGTTTAGTGGCCACGTGATGGTCCTTTTTTCATGTGCTGCGTGTTCTGGTCTTTTGCTCATTTTTCTATTTGGTTCTTTGTCTTTTTCTCATGTGATTCCTTACATATTTTGGTAATAGACCATTTGCCATTTATTATTTTCTCTCACTCAGTGGCTTGCTCTTCCCACTTTTAATAGTGTCTTTTTATAAACCAAAACTTTTAGTTTTAATATAGTTATTACTAAAATTTGGTAGATCCTTTTTATTATGTCTAGTGTCTATTGTGTCCTGTTTGAGAAATATTTTTCTACCCTGAAGTCATGGAAGGTATTCTTCCAGATTGTCTTCTCAAATATCTATTGTTTTGCTTCTCACTTTTGGTTTATGATCCACCTGGTGTTGGTTCTGGGTACAGGTGAGGGAAAGTTCAATCTTTTTCATATAGATACCCAGGTGTCCTATCCCCATCTGTTGCAAAGCTGGCTTTTCCTAGGGCTTTGTGGCATTGCATTTGTCAGAAATCAAATGTTATGTATTTATGTGTTTGTGTCTGGGACTTCTAATGTTTCCCACTGTTCCATTTGTCTATCTTTGTACCAATACTATGCTTTCTTAGTTGCCATCTGGGACAGTTAATTTTATACGTCAATTTGGCTGGGCTGTGGTGCCCAGATTTTTGGTCAAACATTTCTCCTGGATGTTTCTGTGAGTGCGATTTGTTTTTTAGAAGAGATTAACATTTTAATGGTAGGCTTTGAGTAAAGCAAATGACCTTCCCTAGTGTGAGTGAGCCTCGTCCAATCAGTTGAAGGGCTTGCTATCATAGAACCAAGACTGGCTTCCTCCAAGAAAGAATGCATTCTGCCAGCAAACTGCCTTTGGACTCAGCTGCAACTCTTCCCTGAGTATCCCACCTGCCAGCCCAGGATTTTGTAGATTTTGGATGTACCCAGCCTCCACAATAAATCAATTCTCTCTCTCTGTGTACACACACACACACACACACACACACACACACACACACACACCATTTGTTGGTTCTGTGTGGAGAACAGCCAATAATACACCATCATTTTATAATGTTTTGATAGCCATTAGAGCAAGTCAGTCCACCTTTTCCTTGTTAAAAGAGTGCTGTGGTTGGTCTGGGTGCTTCATATTTCCATTTATTTAGGTTGTCTCCACTTTCTCCAACCCTGCTTCGTGGTTTCCGGCAGCAGAGGTCTGGCACTTCTTCCCTCGCTCCTTGCAAATGCCCCACCCAAACGGTCTGCTGTGCTCTCTGTGGGGACAGTGAGTGCCCTGAGGCGTAAATGCTGACCTTCCTCTCTGCATCCCCAGCACCCAGCACAGGCGTGGCCCCGAGTAACTGTGTAACGCACATTTCTTGCATAATTTAGTGAATTTTATTATTCATACAGAGAGTGACAGTTTTTCAGTGATCTGCCCAAAGATTAATAATGCAGCTGTGAATCATCAAACATTTACTGAACACCCATCCCAGGCAAGGATGCATGTAGGGCACATTCTCTTGTGTAACTCTCACCAGCCCCAGCTGAGAGAGTCTCTGGGTCCCCGGCCTTGTGTCCCTGTCCCAGCATCAGGTGTGTACTGGGATGGAGTGGACTCCTAGTGGCCACCTCCCCTGGTCTGCCTCTCATCTACCCCAGTGTCTTTCCGCAGGGGACAGCCACTTCAGACAGGAGGCATGTGGGCCCCGAGGCTCCCCTGCCCAAGCTGCATCTCAGAATCTTGTGCCTTAGGACCACTGGACCCCAGGGTCCCTCATCATTTCCCTCTGGCTTCCCTCTTGTTCTCTCTGTGTAAAACTCAATTTGCATCCTTTTTTTGACATAGTCTTGTTCTGTTGCCCTGGGTAGAGTGCAGTGGCATCGTCATAGCTCACAACAACCTCAAATCCTGGGCTCAAGCGATCCTCCTGCTTCAGGCCCCTGAATAGCTGGGACTACAGGTGCGTGCCATGTTGCCTGGGGTCTTGGTCTTGTTCAGGGTGGTCTTGAACTCCTGACCTCAAGTGATTCACCTCAGTTTCCCAAAGTGCTAGGATTACAGCCATGAGCCACTACACCAGGCATCAATTTGCATATTGATGGAGATGAATAATTAGATCTCTCCAGTGTGAATAACTCTAGGCAAATTAATTTTCATGCCAATCAGGGCAAATTAATTGGCTTCCCCGATGTTTCATATTTTCTAGGAGGGGCCCCCCAGCTGTACCTCTCTCCCCCTAAGTCTCTGGCTCTTCCTCCTCAGCACTTTGGAGAAGAGTGCTTGTTAGTTTTATCGTGTTTGTTTGCTTTGCAATGGCGTCCGGCAGGCAACAATGCTGCCTTCCTTGCAGCTAAATGACCCATTTAACAAGCGTGATAAAAACCTCCTCAGAGCCACTGCTAGCTAGCTCAGTAAGATCCACCTGGTCCTTTATAGCCTGCTTTCTTTTTTAACCTTTTTATTTGCTGTTGTGGAATGTAAACACATACAGGAAGTACATCGACTGTCTTCATACACAGCCTAATGAGTTACTGTAAGGCAAACACTCGTGAATGTCTTCTGTGGTGTGTCCTCTCTCACTCTTGTTGATACCTTTTGATGACAGAAATTTTTAATTTTAATATAGTCAAATATGTCAATCTTTTTCATTTATGCTCTGATTAAAAATTTATTCCAAAATGAAGAGTTTATCCTGTATTTTATGAGAAAACTATAGTTCATTCTCATTTTTTTTCCAAAATGGAAAAGTACACACGTGCACATACTCACAAGAACTATTTAAAAGTTGTAGGTATCATGACACTTTGCTTTTAATCATTTCAGATGAGCAATAATACCATGATCACATCTAAGAAAATGAATGAATCTCTAATATTGTCAAATATTCAGGACTTACTCACATTTCTCTAATTATCCCCAAAATGTCTTTGATAGTAGGAGGATTAGTTTGCCTTTTCTTAAAAGTTTCATATAAATGGAATTATATTATATATACTCTTTTATGTTTGTTTTCACTCATCATTACATCCGAGCAGTTCACTCATATTGTTGTGCATGGTTGGAGCTCAGTTTTGTTCATCATTATATAGTATTCCATCACATGAGTATGCTATAAATTATATATTCCATCTACTCTTGATGGAAAATAGGGCTGTCTCTCATTTATGAATATGTTTCTATGAAGATTCTTTTACATTGCTGTTGGTGAACAAACTTAGAAGTGAAATTTCTGGGTCATAGAGTATAAGTGCCTATCTTAATTATATTCCCACCGGCAGGATATGAGAATTTCAGTTACACCACATCTTTGATAGTATTTGGTATTGAGAGTCCCTTTAATTTTACCTCTACAAGGGGGTGTAATGGTTCTTGTGATGGTTTCAATTTATGTTTTGCTTAGGAGTCATGACATTGGCCCTTTTTATATACTTATTGGCCATCTGGATATCCTCTTCTATAAAGCACAAGTCTTTTGCTTATTTTTCTATGGGACTGACTATTTTTAAAAATAATGTTTGTAGGAATTCTTAATATATCTTGGGTACAAGTCCTATGCTAGATTTATGTAATGCAAATATCTTCTACTCTGTAGCTTGTCTTTGAAGAAGTTAAAAGTATGACACTATAGCATAGTGACTATTGTGAGTTAAAGGCACTTGAAAAGCAGCAGGTACAGGAAGATCGCTCTGACCTTCCTTCTCAGGAAGCAGGATATGAAATTCCCAAGGAAAAGATGTCTTCCCTGTACTAGAAGGAGAGCAGCATTCTTATCATCAAGGATGGGAAGTTGGGCCAAGGGAACTCTGTACTGAGAAACTCTGTCAGACTGACCCTTTTCCTTCTAGCCTGTTCTCCACCCATCAGTCCCCCAGCTCAAGCTCCTTTGCCTTGTCCCACTTTCATAACTTGCTGCTGCGTCTAGTCCAGTACATAAGCACTTGCCTTTAACTGCACCTTTGGGTCTTCATGTCCTTATGGAAGCCCCCGTGCCACGTAAAACTCACGTTGGATAAATGCGTTTGCCTTTCTCTTGCTGGTCTGTCTTGCGCCAATTTAACTCTCAGGCCCAGCAGAAAACACTAAAAGGGCAGAGGTCAAAGTTTGCCTCCCCTACATCTTCTTATTGTTTTAATGAACACTTTTGGTGACCAGAATCTCTAATTTTAATGAAGCCTAATTTTATTTTCATTTTTTAGTGTGTTCCAATTAAGAAGTCTTTGCCTACTCTAAGTTCCTAAAGACGTTTTCCAGCATTTTCCTCTAGAAACTTTAGTATTTCACCTTTAGTATTTATTAATAGGTCTGTGATCCATCACAAATTCATTTTTGTAGGGGAAAAGTCAAATTTTACCTTTTCCCATATGAGTATGTAGTTGCTCCAGCACTGTGTGTTGAGAAGACCACTCTTTCTCCCTCTGAATTACGGCAGCACATCTGTTATAACCAAAATGACTATAGGTGTGTTTTTTTTTTTCCTCTGGGATTTAAAAAATTCTGTTCCATTGGTCTATATCTCTGTCCTTATGCCAGTACTATTCTGTTTTTATTATGGTGATTTTAGAGTAAGTGTTGAAACCTGGTAGGATATATCTTTTCACTTTTTTCTTCTATTTCAAAATTGGTACAGCTATCAAAGGTCTTTGTATTTCCATATAAATATTTGAATCACATGCCAATTTACATAAACACACAAACACACAAAACCTGATGGGACTTTGAGTGAGATTGGGTTGTATCTGTAGATCATTTGTGGATAACTGATCTTTTAACAGTATTGAGTCTCCCAATCCAGGGACATGGTATAGATCCTCTATTTATTTAGGTCATCTTTATTTTTTCACAACAATGCTTTGCTGTTTTCAGTGTTAGAGGGCTTATGTGTCTTTCACTGGATCTGTTCAGTAGTGTGCTGGTGACCCTGCCCTGGGCCGGGGCTCACTTACCGACTGTGTTGATTTCTCTGGTGGAGACAGACCCATACGGCTGTTTTTCGCGCTAATGATGTGGTGTTAAAAATATGGAGTTGGGAAGAGATACAGTGGCAAGCAGGACCCCCCAGGATGTACCCCAAGGTTTCCTGCCCCCTGGTGTGTACACTCTATACTGGCCCTGGGCCTGTGGAGATGGTGATGTTACTCCTGTGATTAGGTTGATATATGACACATCTGACCTTAAGACAGGGCTGTCATCTGGGTGGGCCTGCCCTAGGCACATGAACCCTTCAAAAGCAGGAAGTTTTCTCTGCCTGGTTATAGGAGGAGGAGTAGGAGAGATCTGGAGCATGGGAAGTACTTGACACGAGGATGGCTTTCTGTTGCTGAGATGGAGGGAGCCACCTGGCAGGGACCTGAGAGTGCCCTCTAGGAGCTGCGAGTGGTCTCTGGCCCACCGCTAGCAAGAGAATGGGTTGGGGTCCTTGATCCTACAGCAGCAAGGACATGAATTTCACCAGCAGCCAGTGAGCAGGGAAGATGATCCTGAGCCCTGGGTAGAGCTTCAGCCCTAGGGAGACCCAAGCAGAGGATCCAGTCGTGCCCTGCAGTCTGACCTGCAGAAGTGACTACGAGGTGGTAGGTTTATGTCGTTTGAATCCAGGAAGGACGCAGTACTGAACCTCCAGGTTCCCTGCTGCCTCTCTGTGCCCTCCACAGTGAGCAGTAGAACCTCAACCCTGAGCCGCCAACAGACAGAACGGCTCCAAGAAAAGCCTGTTTCCTCTTAGCTGAAGGACTGGGAAAAGTGTGGCCTAACAACAGAAAACTACCTTGTGCACACCCTTCCTACTCCAGCCAAACACCAATGAAACCACCTCTACGCTTTAGCACGGCTGGGGGGAGGTGACCTTCTGGCCCCTGCCCAGGAGCAGGTGGTGTCCAGCTCCCCTGCCAGGAAGGTGTCAAGAGGGTCCGGGGGTGAACTGTGCCTTCACTCCTACCTGGAAGCAATGAAACTGAAGGGGATCAGAATATGCCACCCTACAGCCTGTCCCTTTGGCAGGAGGATTATTTGAGCTGAGGGCGATGGAGAAAGAGCAGACACAGGAAGAGCTTGCTGCCCTCTCCCTCTCTGCTCAAAGGCAGGTGTCAACTGCCCATTGTGAAGGTATTGGCCCTCCCCTCTCCTATACCAGAAGGACAGAAACCCCCATTGCCACTGGAGGCAGGCAGTTGGCGCTGAGTTGGGTCACATAAACAAAAGTCACTACCACAGCTCTTGTCTGCCACAGGCTTCCTCCACATATATATTTATCTCTACTGCTCCCAGAAGCCCAAACCCTTTTTCCTTTGTCTTGTCACTTCCCCACATATTTATTTCCCTTTTTAAGATGGTTTTACAAGCCCCAAATTCTAACCACCCCTCTGAGTTACTTACCATTTTGTACTTCCGTGTGTATGTGTGTTGTGTGCATAAATAAACTATGTTTTTTCTCTCCTATTAATTTGTCTTTTATCACTCTGGTTTTGCAGGCTCCAGCCACAAAACTTAAGGAGGTAGAGGAAGTTTTTCCCTCCCTTCAAAACGGAACGAGATAGTGGAGTTGACCGGCCTCCCCCTTCCCCTGGCATCGAAGCAGTAACACGAGGCGGTGGGAGAGGGGCTGGTTGGCGCTCCGCTTCCCTCTCCCTCCCAGGTTTCTCACCAGAGCTCCTGCCCCCACTGCTCAGCCACATGCCAGCGTGACTCAGACTTCTTTCCTTCTCCTTGGTGGCGGTGGGGCCCAACGGGGAGCTGATATTATGTCACCACTCGGAAGCAATGAGCCTGCACAAGGTGGTGCCCCAGGAAGTGGATGCAGAGGGAGCAGCGCAGCTTCCCCCTGCCCACCTGTGGGGAGTTGGTGGGAGTCACTGTGCCCGTCTGCAGGGCAGCTGTCAGCCTGCGCTGTGGGAAGTGGAGCATGCAGCCCTTGCACCATCCCTCAACAGGGGGACTGCCTGCCTGCAAGGAGCGTTGACTAGAATCCAGAGTCTCAGCATGTCCCATGTGTCCAGATTACAACTGAGAATCAAGAAACAAGAAAAATCACAACAGGGATGAGAAAAAGTGATCAATACAGTAGGTGAATCAGGTGTTGGATTATCTGACGTGGATTTTGGAGTGCCTGTCACAAAAATGCTTCCACAACTAATCAAGAATTCTCTGGAAAAAAATTTAAAAGGTAGCAAATCTCAGCAAAGGAAAAGAAGTTATAAAAAAGAGCCACATGGAAATCGTAGAACTGAAAAATACAATACATGAAATAAAAAATTCTTACTGGATGGGCTGAAGAGAAGAGCAGAGATGACAGAGGACAGAATCAGAGACCTGGAGGAAATACCAGATCTGAACAATGCTGTCATCCAACCAGAGCTAATAGACATCTATGCAACTCTCCACCCAATAGCAGAATTCACTGTTTTTTTTTCTTTTTTCTTTTTCTTTTTTTTAGCACCCATGGACCCTTCATCAAGATGGACCACATCTTGGGCCATAAAACAAACCTCAACAAATTTAAAACAATTAAAATCATACAGATTATGTTTTTGACCATAATGGAATCAAACTAGAAATCGATAACAAAGAGGCAAAAAAAATCTCTAAGCCCTTGGAAATCAAAATTATTCTTCTAAATAATACTTAAGTCAAAGAATAACTCTCAAAGAAATAAAAAAAAATAAAGAAGTAAATTTAAATGAAAGTACAACATATCAAAATATGTGGGACATAGTTAAGGTAATCCCGAAAGGAAAGTTTTTAGCATGAAATGCTTACATAAGAGAAGAAGAACTGCAATTTCTCTACTGGGTATCTACCCAAAGGAAAAGAAGTCATTATATCAAAAAGATTCCTGCACTTTAACATTTATTGCAGCACTATTCATACCACCAAAGATATGGAATCAACCTAAGCATCCATCAACAGACGAGTTGATAAAGAAAATGAAACACACGCAATGGATTTGTGATCATTTGTGGGCACTCCAAAATCCATGTCAGACAATCCAACACCTGATTCATCTACTGTACTGATCACATCATTCAGCCATAAAAAAGAATGGGATTGTGTCTTTTGCAGCAACATGGGTGGAACTGGAGGCCATTATCTTAAGTGAAATAGCTCAGGAACATAAAGGCAAATACGCATGTCCTTCCTTATAAACGGGCTGCACAGCGCACCTGGACAGGAGTGTGGAGTAGCAGACCTGGGAGACTGGGAGGGGGTGGGAGTGGGCGAGAGGAAGTTACTTAATGGAAACATTGTACCGTATTTGGGTGATGGTTGCACTAAAGCCCAGACTTCACTATGTATTTAATGAAACTACACTAGTAACCCTTTAACTCTATACAAAGACAAAAAAGACAAGAAAAGAGGAACGGTTTCAAATCAATAATCTGAATACCTACCTCACAAAACTGGAAAAAGAAGAACACAAGAAATGTAAAGTGTGCAGAAGAAATAATAAAGGTAAAGGCAGAAAAACCCAGAAAATCTACAGAGGAAATAAGTGAAACAAGAAGCTGGTTCTTCAAAAAATATTGATAAAATCGATAAACCTTTACCAAGACTGACAAAATAAAAAGAGATCATCAATATCAGAAATGAAATGGGATGTCACCACAGAGCAGGTTCCTGTTCAGTGGCCAGCCGCGGGGAGCTGTTTAACAGGGTTTGTGCAGTGAGGCCAGGCACGCCCAGGTCGTCTCCCAATCTGAGGCCAAAAGTACCATAAAAGCTGCCTCATTTTGGAGGACACTTTCCAATCCTGCCCAGCCGGCCACCCTCTGGCCCACAGATATTTCTATTCTAAATGAAAACATACATTCACCTCCTCCCAAGGCTGGCAAGGGTCTTATCCCAGTGCATCGAAGTCCAAAATCTCACATAAATCTCATCAGCTCAAAAGCCGAAAGCTCACCACACACAACATCTAAATCAGTGAGGACGAGGCTCTTGCGTGCAATCCATGAATCCGACTCCCGGCGCTTCCTCTCCGCGCCTGGAGCCCGTGCAGGGACGGAGGGAGACTGCCTGCCACATGCCGCCGACAGTGCGACAGTGCGGCCGGGCTCAGAGGACCGTCACAAGCACTCTGGTTCACAGCAGGAAGGAATGGGCGGTTAAAAAGGAGCCACCAGACCAGGGCAGTTTTGAAGTCTGTGCAGGCGAGCCTTGATCAGGCTTCATGACCTGGGAGGGACCCTCTGGCTCTAAGCCGCACTTCAGCAGCTGTCTGTGACGCTGAGCTCCGCTGGCCTCTGGAGCAGGCGAGAATCATTGTGTTCTGGCTCCTTTTGTTCAACAGTTCTTCCCTCAGCTCATCTCTCATTTTACTGTAGGTGGTAAGAAGAGACCAGAAAGTCCCTTCAGCATTTGGCTTGGAAATGGCCGCAGCCAGAGAGGCAAGCTTGTCACTCACAAGCAGCGTGCCCCATTGCTGCAGGACACAACGCCGTTAGGGTCCCTTCCGCCTCCACCTGCTAATAAATAGCATGCTCCTTACTTAATTCTGAGCGCTCAACAGAAGTTTTCTTAAATTCCAAATTTCCAATGATAGCCATTCACAGAGACTTAGCTTTTCTCTAATGCAGTTCAGTTTCTGTCTAACGCCCCTGTCATCTTCTGAGCACTCACCAGCAGCGTCTTCAATGTTCAATATTCTACCAGTTTGTTCAAAGTAATCAAAGTTTTTTTTCCTATCTCGTCCCCCAGAATTTTTTCAACTATACCAATTCCAAAAGCCCAATTCCAAATTCCAATTCCAAAGTCACCTGAGTGCTTTTATTTAAACTTTTTGTTTTGCGACCATTGAGGATTCACATATAAAATAATACAGAGAGATTCTGGGTGCTTCTACCCAGTTTCCCCCAGTGGCTGTGACTTACGAATTGTCCCAGCCTGATGTCGACCTGGCAGTCACGGTGCAGAACAGTCCCCTCACCCAGGCGAAGCCCGCATCCAGCTCCCTCCTCCGGATCCGTGGCAACCACTGGTCTGTTCTCAATTTCTATAACTTTGTTGTTTCAAGAATGTTATGTGAATGGAATCATACTGTGTGTAACATTTGGGATAGGCTGTTTCCACTTGGCACAGTTCCCTGCAGAGTCATCTAAGTTGCCATGTGTATTGGTAGCTCGTTCCTTTTTACTGCTCAGTGCTGTTCCATGGTGGGGACATAGCACAGTTCCCTGCAGAGTCATGTAAGTTGTCATGTGTATTGGTAGCTCGTTCCTTTTTACTGCTCAGTGCTGTTCCATGGTGGGGACATAGCACAGTTTAAGTATTCTCCAGTTGAAGGCCAATTGCATTTTTTCAGTTTTGGGCTTTTATAGATGCTATGAATATTTGCACACAGTTTTTATGTGAATACAAATTTTCATTTCTCTAAGATAAATATCCAAGAGTACAATTGCTGGGTTATACGATAGGTAAGTTTTTTTTTTTTTTTTTAAGACATTGCTGAACTGTTTTAGAAAACAGGAGTGGCTGTACAATTTTATATTCCCATATGCAATAATGAATGATTCAGTTTCTCTGTGTCCTTGCTCACAGAGAAACTGAATAGTGTTGTCACTTTTTATTTTAGCCATCATGACAGGTGTGTAGTGATAGCTCATTGCAGTTGTCATTTGTATTGGCTAATGCACACTGAACATCTTTACATGTGCTTATTTGCCATCATATATCTGCCTGGTAAAAGGTCTGTTTGTGTCCTTTGTCCATTTCCTAATCGGATTTTTTGTCTATTTACTGTTGAGTTTTGGAAAGTCCTCATATATTTTAGAAACTAGTCCTTTGTTAAATATGTGGTTTGCAAACATTTTCTTCTGTATTTTCGGCTAACAGAATCTTTCACAGAGCAAAAGTTTTAAATTTTTATGAAATCCAATTTATCAATTTTTCCCCTTTGGTGATTTTGGTGGCAGGTCTAAAAACATGAATGCCTATAACCATTATCCTATTCCTGTCCTGCAACTGTATGATGGGAATGCTGGTCAGATAACTGTCTCTAGCATCACAGGCCCAGAGATGAGGAAGAAACATGCCCAGGAGTTGCACTTAATGGGTTACGCCCAGGAGCCTCGCTCACATCTCATTTAGGTATTTTATATTATGAGCTTTCGGACTTTTGAGCTGATGAGATTTGTGTGAGGTTTTGGACTTTGAGTTGATGCTCAGTGGGTCTCAAGGATGAGACCCTTGCCAACATGGGAGGAGGCAGATGCATGTTGCATTTGGGGAGATATAATATTTGGGGGCCAGAGGATGGGCTGTGCCCGGCAGAATTGGAAAGTATCCCCAAGATTAGTTCTCTGAGTAATCGCTAGGCCTGTGAAGGCGAAGGGGTTCACGGCTGTGATCGGGTTACTTTATATGGCATGTTTGGCCGTAGACTGGGAGATGGCCTTTGTGAGTCTGAGCTCGTTGGGCCAGCCCTTCGAAAGCAGAGAGTTTTCTCTAGCAGGTCACTGAACAGGGGTAAGAGATATGATGCACAAGGGAAATCTGATGTGGGAGAAATTCTCTGTTGCTGGAGAGGCCATGTGACAAGAAATCCAGGTAACCTTGAGGAGCTGATGGTGCTCCTGAAGTGGCCTGCAAGGAAGTGGAGACTTCATCCCCACCCCTGCAAGGAACCAAATTCTGCTAATAATAAAATGAGGTTGAAAGTAATTTTTCTCCAGTGCCTCCAAATGATAACTTAGCCCAGCCAACACCTTGATTTCAGCCTTGTGATACCCCGAGCAGAGAACTCACCCGCACCATGCTAGACTTTCCAACTATTGAACTATGTAACAAACAGGTGTTTTAAGCCTCAAACTATGTGATGTTTCGCTGCAATAGGAAGCTAATATTACTGTGCTCAACTGGCTCTCATGAACTGGTGTGAGCTGGCTCCAACACAGCATGGATGACTTCCTAGATATTGGATATTTTTTTGATGCTGTCATAAAGGGTGTTGTCTCTTAAATTTCATTTTTAAGTGTCTATGCTAGTGTATAAAAATACAATGTATTTTTCTATATTGACCTTGTGTGTGTTCTGTATTCCTGTAAAACTCAACTATTTGTTTTTTCCCTTGGTATTGTGAGCACATATACTCATGCCATTTGTGAATAAAGAGTGTTATTTCCTTTCCAGACTTTATGCCTTTTACTTCTTTTTCTGTGCCTGGCCATGGCCTTCAGTGCAACATTGAAAAGAAGTGGTGAGAATGGCCATCTTTGTGTTTTTCCTGATCTTGAGGGTGAAAATATTGATTTTGTCATGATTAGCTATGATATTAGTTGTTCTCTATCAGATGTAGGAAGTTCCTTTTCATTCTAAGTTTGCTGAGAGTTTTATTATAAACCAGCTTTGAAATTTGTCGCATGCATCTTTTTGGCATTTTTGAAATAATTGTATGGTTTTTCTCCTTATTCTGTTAATGTGGGGAATTTGGATGTTAAGTTGGCCTCACATTCCATGCTAAATCACTCTTTTTGTTTGTCACTGGATTTATTTTGCTCATGTTTTTTTTGAGGATTTTGCACTCTATTTATGAATGAGTTTGCCCAGAAATTCTAGTAATTTTCTTTACTCTTAATGTCAAGTACTGGAACTAAGATTATGCTGTCTTACACAATGACTGGGATAGTACTTCCTGTCTTCTTATCTCTGGAAAGCTGTGTGTAATATTGGCTTTATTTCTTCTATAAATGTTATTTTCTGGGGTAGCTGTCTGAGCCTGGAACTTTGTTTGGGGAAGATTTTTGTTTAATTTGCAGTTTTAATTTCTTTAATCATTATAGAACTATTCAGCTTTTCTATTTTTCTGGTGTCAGTTGTGTTTTTCCAGAAATTTGT